CTCCCCCGCAGAACGTGCAGCCCTCCGCTCCAATCCCAACCTCACCATAAAACCCGCGGACAAGGGAGGCGCAGTTGTAGTATGGCGCACTGACCTCTACATCGCCGAGGCCGGACACCAGCTCTCCGACACCTCCTCCTACCGCCCCCTTGATCATGACCCCACCCCCGAGCACCAAACCATCATCAAAAAAAAGCATTTCTGATGAAGGGTCTAGGCCCGAAACGTCAGCCTTTCCTGCTCCTATGATGCTGCTTGGCCTGCTGTGTTCATCCAGCTCTACACCGTGTTATCTCAGATTTTCCAGCATCTGCAGTTCATACTATCTCAGCTGCATTCTTCTTCATCTTTTTTCTGTTTTGTTTCTTCAGTTCTCTTTTGTATCAAAGCTCACCTTTTCTCCCAATATGGTGAAGGAAGGTGTTTGTGAGGGCCTGCTAGAGCAGCAGCAGCAACATGGTGGATCCAATTAGCTGTTCCTCATGGCCATAACGTCTGAGGCTTCATCGTCGGTGGGTCTGGTCCGTTCCTCCTGGGTGGCCGTGTGGCAGTTTCAGCAGCGACGGCATGATGGTTCGGGTTCGTTCCTTGTGGCTATGGCAGCAATGTGGCGGCTTCGGGCGGCAACTAAAGTGGCAATGGTTTCAATGACAGTGACTTGGTAGGTCCAGTCTGTCCCTCCTTGCTACGGCAGTGATGCAATGGCTTCAGAGTTGGTTTCGTTGGTGGCAGCCTGGTGAGTCTGGTCTGGAAATCCTTGCTTTGGCGGCCTCAGGGACAACGGCGTCCTGTAGTCCCTCCATAAACCCAGGAGACGTGGTGGGAACAAAGGATGAGGTTTGTCGTAACTTTGTCTCAATTATTTCTTTTTATAATTTCTGTAATTAAAATGGTGCTAAAGTGTGGCAAATTGTACACATCACACTGTATTTTCATAAATACAAGTGACAATAAATTGCTATTCTATTCTCCTATTTTCAGGAGAAGACAGCTCTTTAATGGAAATAAAAATTTATTGTTTTCAATGTGTTTTGTTAGTTCCTTTGGCCCTTTAAGTAAATAAGTGAGGAAGGGAAAATGTTAACTTATGTAGCATCTTCTGTACCCACAGAACATTACAAAGCTAATAAAATGCTTAGGAAATAAAAACCAAAAGAACTGTGGATGCTGTAAATCAGGAACAAAAACAAAGTTGCTGGAAAAGCTCAACAGATCTGGCAGCATTTGTGAAGAAAAAAAAATCAGAGTTAATGTGTCAGGTTCAGTGACTAGTTCTGAGGAAGGGTTACGAGACCCGAAACGTTAACTCTGAAATTTTTCTTCACAGATGCTGCCAGACCTGCTGAGCTTGCAGCAACTTTGTTTTTGTTGTTGTTGTTGAAAATGCTTAGGAAATTGCACAGGTACATGGATAGGAGTGGTTTACGGAGATACAGGCCAAATAGAAGCAAATGGGACTAGTTCAGTTTAGAAACTGGATTGGCATGGAAAAGTTGGACAGCAGGGTCTGGCTCCGTGCTGTATGACTCGAAATGAAAAATGTACACAGTAAATTTTTTCTTTTAAGGCACTATTGAGTTAATAATAAGAAAATATCCTTCAGACCATAAATGGATCAAATGTTCCTTGGTCCTGAATATGACCAGAAGAGCACAGATCTGACCACAGTAAAGACATTCAAGCACGGTTGGCTTAGTACAGTTTGTAGAAGTTCCAACATCAAGCAGTCCTCAATACCTTGCCAAGTACATTGAGCTGTGTTGTTCAAATACAGAAAGTAATTTCAGAACTTTGTCCAGCTTAAGGTATAACAGTTGACAATGTCTGGTGTTGTTTATATATTAGGATGCAGAAGGATGGCTCCAAACTGCATTAACTCTGACAAGAATATACTGTATACAGTGAACAGCTTCTCCAAACTCTCCGTGTTTCACTGTGTAGGTTCGATGGTGGTAAGGAAGCTGGGCAGAAAGGATGGGTTTGGAATTCTTTACTGTAGAGATCTGCACAGCATTAAGTATACTCAAAACCGTGATAGACAGATTTGTAATTGGTAAGGGAATCAAAGGTTATGGGGAGGGGAAGACAGGAATGTGGAGGTGAGGATGATCATATCAGCCAAGAGCTAACTGGTGGAGCAAACTCAATGGGCCAAATGGCCTACTTCAGCTCCTAGCTCTTATTGTTTTATGAGTGGTACATAGTTATCAGTGTTCAGATCAGTGACTGAGAGAGGTTTTGTTTTGTTTTCAAATAAGCTTTTACTTTGAGCTTCATATGTTGACAAAGCTAATAAGGGAAAATATCTGTCTTGGAGGTCCAAGTTCAGACAGTTTTTACAATGATTAGTTCAGATGGAAGCAATGATATCCATCAATCCTGGCAGAATTTGCCTTGCCAAGGAAGATAATCAGAGTAGATTCATATTCAGTTATTCATTATTTAACTGAAATAGGCAATGAGAATGCCATACAGACTTAAAACATTAAACATTACCTTTACTAGAATAATGACACTGCTTGTATTCAGAGTGATGGCACAGTTGGTATTTCCTATGGCACTGAACTGCATTCCATTGAATGCAAGGATTACATGTGCAATTTCCCGCATCATTTAAGATTTCCTCCCAGTTCACCCACCAAGGGTGTGATACATTGCGTCCTATCTAAAAATGAACTTCAGCAACACAACGCAAGCCTGCAACCTCTGCCACCAAAATGTCAAGAGCAGCAGGCACATGTTGACACTGTTACCTCCAACTCTCACAGCATCCTGCTTTTGAAATATATCACCATCCCCTAGTAGTAGTTAAATCAATTTCCTGCAAAACACACACACATACATTCACTAGAGTGGATACATTCTCGTATATTCATTCCAGTGGATGCGCCCAAGTAGACTCACACCAGTGGATGCACCACAAGTATGTTCATCACAATTGGTGTACAGTAGATACACCACTGTCCATATGCTACATTACATTCACAACTGCAGGTCAGGTAGAAAGAAATGCTGAAACAGCAGGAGATCGATATTAGACAACAATGCTCATGTAACTAACTGGTGGAGGCACGATGGGCCAAATGGCCTCCGCTTGTGCTGTAACCCTTGCGCGATTCTGAGGAGTCTCACAATCACTTTATTGATCATCCCAATAAATGTCTTTGCCAGTGACACCAACAACCTGACAATGAATTCCAGGAGGCTTTTTTTCCCAGTAATTTCCTCAATGTGCAATTAAAAACTGATTACAAACTCCAAAACACATCCACAATTTCAATGGGAAAAAAATAAGAAATTTTCACTCTCACACCTTCTATGTCATGGGGGCAAAGTGGAATTGGAGGCAGTGGCCCCTGGCTCTTTTCTATCATTAAAGCGAGGAGCAGATGGGTAGTGCAGATTGTTCAAACTGAGAGCATGCTTGGTACATTTACAGTATACATCTGTGCAGGCGACAAAAATAACTTTTACCCAATGGTCTGAGCTGGTTTTCAAACCAGCTTCTCCACCACCATTCCCACAAAAAGAATTAAGCTGAAGTCAATTAAATAAAAGCAAAATACCACTGCAAATCTGAAAAAAAGAGAGCAAGTGCTGGAGAAACTCAGTATGTCTGGTAGCATCTGTGGAGCGAGAAGCAGAGTTAATGTTTCAGGTTCAATATGACTGATCTTTTGAACTGGTTCAATGGTCAGTTACTTGCTCCTAGGCGTTGGTTAGCTCATTTGACTGGATGGCTGGATACAGAGTGGCACCAACAGCATGGGTTCGATTCCTGTACCAGCTGAGATACCATGAAGGACCCTCTTCTCAACTTCTCCCCTCACCTGAGGCATGGTGACCCTCAGGTTCAACCACCAACAGTCATCTCTCTGATATCAGAGCAGCCCCATGGTCAATTAGGGCTATGGTACCTTTACGTGTTGCTAAATCCAAGTGACACTGCTGTCATTTGGGAACTGAGTACAAGGAATTCACAATAGGCAGGATGCTGTTTGCTCTTGGTGTCTGATACTGAGATATTGCTTTAAAATCAACCTGTTCAGATGTATTGTGACATTACGATGTGAACCTGGGACTTCTAGTTCAGAGGCAAGGACATTACCACTGGGCACAAGAGCAGTCTGTGGGGTGTGATTTCTTTATGGAAATAACCTGCTCGGATGTATTATGAAATATGGGTATGACTCTTGGTCAATAAAAACCGAAAGAACTGTGGATGCTGTAAATCAGGAACCAAAACAAAAAGTTGCTGGAAAAGCTCAGCAGGTCTGGCAGCATCTGTGAAGAGAAAACATCAGAGTTAATGTTTCAGGTCCAGTGACCCTTCCTCAGAAAGTTCTCAGGAAGGGTCACCAGACCCAAAACGTATGACTCTTGGTCATCTGGCTCAGAGGCAAGGACACTACGCCAGTGCATAGTGGCAGTTTGGGGAATAATAACTAGTTCTTTATAAAGCAGCATGTTCAGATGTGGAGAGAGAGAGTAGGAACTGCAGGTGCTGGAGAATCCGAGACAAGGTGCAGAGCTGGATGAACACAGCAAGCTAAGCAGCATCATAGGAGCAGAAAGGCTGACGTTTTGGGCCTAGACCCTTCATCAGAAAATGTTCAGATGTGGAGATAGTAGGAGTCTGGAGTCTGAGATAACACAGTGTGGAGTTGGATGAACACAGCATCAGAGGAGCAGGAAGGCTGATACTTCAGGTCTGGAGGAGGGTCCCAACCCGAAACGCTGCTTGGCCTGCTGTGTTCATCCAGCCCTGCACCTTGTTGTCTCAGATTCTCCAGCATCTGCAGTTCCTACTATCTCTGATTCAACTTTAGCCTTCCTGCTCCTCTGATGCTGCCTGACCTGCTGTGTTCCTCCAGCTCTACACCTTGTTATGTTCAGATGTATTAGGATACTAGGATGGGAACGTGGACCTTCTGGCTGAGAGGCAGGGACGCTACCACGGCAGAACAGCAGTAAGTGGGAATGACTAACAGTGCACTGACCTGTAGCGCTGCATTTGGTGTTGCAGCTCCTGGACCTGGCTCTCTAACACGGGGACCTGCCGGACTCTCCTCTCCAGCTCCTTCACGTTGTCCAGGGCGGCCCGGAGAGCTGCAGTCACCCTCTCGGCTTTGTCGCGGAGCCGGCCGTGCTCGGCTCGGAGGGCGGCCAGTCGGTACTCCCGGTGCCCCAGGCGGCAGTGAGCATCCCGGAGTTCCTGCTCCAGCTGCCGGTTTAAGCGCCTGGCCTCGTCAATCTGACCGTCCCGGGACGTGCGGATGAGCTCCAGCTCCCGGAGCAGGTGACGGGAACCGGGGCAGACGTGAGCGACCGAACAGCAGCTCAGGCTGGGCGGACGCGGTTCCTGGGTCTGCCGCCTCGGAGCCCCGGGGAAACCGCTCAAAACCTTCCGGAGACCGACTTCCAAGGCCAGGCAGCGGGCATCGCTGCTCTGCAAAGCTCCCCGGAGATCCTCCACCAACTCCCGCAGGCTGGCGTTCTCCAGTTCCCCCGCACTGGGATCTTGCTGTGCCTCTTCGGCCCCGGGCTCAGGGCTCTCCTCGTCCCCGTCCTCTTCACCTCCGTCCCGGGGCAGCTGGAAAGACACGCTCCTCTTCTTCTTCTTCCTCCGGCGGCGGCGGGGGCACCGGAGCCGGATCTGCCTCTCGATGTGTTCGGTCTCTTGGCTGACCGGCAGCCGGTTCCCCGGTTCCCCCCGGCCCAGGAGGCGGTGGAAAGGTTCACACAGGAGGGCGTGGAAGTGCCGGAAGGTGACCGCTTCGGGCGGCCCGTCTACACCTTCCTCCAGCCCCAGCACCGAGCACAGAGCCCGAAAGTCCTCTCCCGACACCAGCCCGTCCCCTTCGTAGTCCAAGTGGTGGAAGATCTCCTGCAGGTACTGGTCCAGGCCGGTGGCTAACACCACGATCTCGTTGTCCACTTGTCCGCCCTCGGAGCCGAAGTGATGGGACAGGGCGCTGACCAGCCACGAGGTTCTCCGGCCCGGACGAGAATCAGAGAAACCCAACATGGTCAAGCAGAGGGAGAGGAAGCTTCAAATTCTCCTTATTATACCCAACCCCAAAAGACGAACGCACAAAGTCTTTTAAAAAATATAACCCCAAAAGACTAACGCATAAAGTCTTTTAAAAAAATCTAACCCCAAAAGACTAACGCACAAACTCTTCTAAAAAAAATCTAACCCCAAAGACTAACGCACAAAATCTTTTAAAAAATCTAACCCCAAAAGACTAACGCACAGTCTTTTTAAAAAATCTAACCCCAAAAGACTAACGCACAAAGTCTTTTTCTTAAAAAATGTAACTCCAAAAGACTAACGCAAAAAAAGTTTTAATATGTAACCCCAAAAGACTAATGTACAGTCTTTTAAAACAGATGTAACTCCAAAAGATTAACGCAAAAAAAGTTTTAAAATATGTAACCCCAAAAGACTAATGTACAGTCTTTTAAAACAGATGTAACTCCAAAAGACTAACGCAAAAAAATCTTTTAGAAATGTAACTCCAAAAGGCTAACGCAAAAAAGCTTTTAAAGATATAACTCCAAAAATGAATGTAACAAAATCTTTAAAATGTAATTCCAAAAGACTAATATAAAAAATCGTAAGACTGTAACTCTGAAAGACGAATATAAAAGTTATCTTTTAAAAGTGTAACTCCAAAAGTAAATGTAAAAAAACTTCAAAATGTAATTCCAAAAGACTAATATAAAAAATAACTTTTTAAAAATGTAACTCCAAAAACAAACGTTAAAAATCTTTAAAATGTATCTCCAAAAGACCGATATGAAAAATGTTGTTTTAAAATGTAACTCCAAAAGACTGATGTAAAAATTATCTTTCAAAAATGTAACTCCAACAGATAAATGTACAAAAAATTTAAAATGTAACTTAAAAAGACAAATTTAAAAGAAAATCTTTTAAAAACGTAACTCCAAAAAGGCAAAGGCAAACATAAAATTCCCAGCAACTTTTAAAAGATTAAAGATGTTGCAGTCCGACGATTGACACCATAAATTAGTATCTTCCGAAATATTGTCACAATCCAATCGATGTTGATTGGAAAATGATGGAAGTTACTCCTCTCAGAGTAAATCTTCTAATTTCTTGTTTGTAATAAACGAAGTGTATAAAAACACTTTAGAAGTGCGCCTCAGTCCAAGGTCTGTGAGCTGCTCTCCCGTTGATTTTCCCGCTGCTGGTTCTGTAAATAATCGTGGGGAAGTTTTTAATTAAAGTCCAATTTCCTTGCAATTCTCGAAGGACGCGATCGACTAGTGATGCTGAGCTGAAGGGTTGTCAGCGAGATGGTGAGAAGCCGTTTCCCCTGGGGTCCTAGCGTTTCAAATATTCAGTACATAATCTATGTGTGTGTGAGAGGCGCTCTTTGGCACGGAACCAATATGCGGTGCGGAAGATTTGTAATCAGTGCAGAACAAAACAGATCTTGTCAGTCCCCAGCTTTGCTGAGTTTCCAACCTTATCCCAGCTGCATTAATTACGCGACGAATGAATTTGGAAGGTAGTCAGTGTGTGTACAAGAACAAATAGAGTATAACCACAACACAGAATAATCGTAATATTTATATAAAATGTTTGTGCGAAATGGAAGACTTGCATTCATGTAGCACTTTCCATAGCCGACATCTCGAAGCACTGTTCAGTCAATGAAGGGTGGTCATAGTTTTATGAAACAGAGTACCCAATTTTTGCACAGCATGCTCCTACAAGCAGCACCGTGATAGTGACCAGATAGCCCATTGTGTGAAGTATATTAAAGGCAGAAAACACTGGATGATGGAAACTTAAAACAGACAAAGAAAACGCTGGAAAAAAAACTCAGCAAATCTGGCAGCGTCTCCGGAGAGAGAAACAGAGTTAATGTTTCAAGTCTGGGATGAGTCTTCAGAATACCTCTCTGTGTTGTTGATTGAGGGATAAATATCGGCTGGAATACTGGGGAGAACTCCTTCATCTTAGAAATAGCGTCACTTTTTTTTAATGTTACTCCAGAGCATGGATAGGGTCTCAGTTTAACGACCATCTAAAAGACAGCATTTCCAACAGTGCAGCAGTCCCTCAGTACTGCACGAGAACGTCAGCCTTAAGTATTTTGTTCAGGTTCTGCAGAAGGGCTTGAAACTGCAACCTTTCAATCATAGGTAAGAGCCACGGATTAGGCAGACTGAACCAAATGGTTCACAACATTGAAGGAATTGCGTTTGAAATGTTTACCCAGATGGGCTTCATGCAGCTTTATGTCTGAATAACAAGCACACTAATTCCTGTGATGGAGGAATTATCCCGTTAAAAAAAAAGATTAACTAGATTGTGCCTTTATTCTCTGGAATGTAGAAGAATGAGAGGTGATCTTTTTTAAATATACAAAAGTCTTAAAAGGCTCCACAGGCTAGATACAGGAAGGGAGTTTCCCCTGGCTTATCAATCTAGACTCGGAGGTTGGGGGGGAGGGGAGTGTGGGGTGGGGTGGAGGTGGTGGCAGGGACTGTCAGAATAAGGAGTTTATTTTTTAGGGCCGAGATTAGGACTTTATTATTTCGGGTCTTTGACTGAGATAAGGAGGAATTTCTTCATTAAGAGGTTGGTGAATCCCTGGAATTCTCTACTCAAGGGAGCTGTGAAGGCTGTCATTGAGTATGTTCAGGACAAAGGGTGAAAGATTTCTACGTTTAAAAATCATCATGGGATATGGGAATAATGCAGGAAAGTTGTGTTGAGGTAGAATATCAACCGTGATCTCATTGAATGCTGGAGCAAGGTGAAAGGGCTGAATGGCTTCCTGCAGCAGTTATTTCTCATGTTAATATCTAAGGATCAATTGGCATTCCTTTCCAGATAGGATGGCAAATTAAGGAGGGCTTTGCTTAATCTTAATGTTGTCCCTTTGGCCTTGAGGTCACCTGCCATTATGGGTTGACAACATGAACCAATGCTTTAGCTTTTTGTTTATATTGACTGAGTTTCTGTGAGCTGATCACAGAGTTCCAATGATGATTAACTAAAATAGAATAGCCTTTATCGTCATGTTTACTCGAACGAGTGCAGTGAAAAGTCTGTAATAAAAACAAGGTTGCTGGATAAGCTCAGCAGGTCTGGCAGCATCTGTGGAGGAAGAAA